TCGACCCTCGGCTCCCTCCAGAGACAATATCGCTCTGGAATGTTCCTCACCAAGTGCACCTGGGGTCTGTTTTACCCATCCCCAAAAAGTTAACCGTTACAACCATTCAACAAACCCGTCAGCTAATCCGTACCACTCTGCATGATGCACACGGTGATAAAGGCGCTGGGGACTCTGTGGGATACACCCCACTCCCACTGCTGAGAGCTGACTCTAAGAGGCTCTGCTTTCCCTCCACCCTCGCTCACTTTTCCTGGGCCAGGTAGGACCCCGAAGCTTTAGAGCCAGAGTTCTTTGCCAGGGGCTGTTGAGCTTGCATGGTGCACTAGGGTTGGAAAGTTGGGGAGGAAGGCTGCTCGATCCTGAAGCCAGCAGCAGAAACCTCACATGTACGAGCCAAAACCTCTGGACCGTCTTCAGCAAAATGCCTCTGTGTTTGGGGTCTCCAGACTTCAGTGACCCGGGCTCCAGAGCTTTTATTACGAGCTTTTCAGAGGAGTGAGCTCCAACCCACAGAGAGAGAGAGCTGTTGTTTCATCTTTGGGCGATGTACCCACCCTCTTGTTGCATCCCTAAAAGCGCCCGTAAGTGTGCCTAAGGATGGTCAGAGCTCTCTCTGACTATGGAAATCGTTATTTTTTAATGGGGTCATCAGGGACCAGAAGGGGTTGTGGGATAGGAGGCAGAGATCAGGGGTGGACCACAGTGACAGAACCTTTCAGTGACCATAAAGATGTTCTGTACCTATGAGCAATGTGGTCACCACTGGCCATGTGAAGGGCTTGAGCCCATGCAGATGGGACTGCCAAAATAAGACGAATATTCACTTTATTTCATTCAGATTCTATGTAAATTGAGTTGCCCCTAGGTGGCCAGTGGTGACACTATTGGACAAAGAGAATTCAGATCCCAAAAAAATTTTGACTTGGAGTTGTAGTGGCATAGCAAGCTCTTCTAGGGTGTGGAGAGAGGAGTGACACTACCAGGTGTCATAAGTGGCTGCCAAGACAATCCCCATGGGCCACCATGCCTATTCCTGGCAGTAAAATGCAGACCAGGCTAAAACCGCAAGCTGTAGTGCAGGACTTGGCTTTGGTAGAGCCTGGGGCAAGGCTTGGGAAAAAAGGGACAGTGAGGACAATTGTGAGCTATATCAGGGTCTAGGGGGCTGAGGGGCTTAATAAAAGTGGCAAGGTCTAGGAGTGAATTGGAGTGTGGAAGGGCATGAGGCTCCACACCGGGCCACGGATGGGGGCAGCAGGAGCCAGGGGTGTGTGTCAGCCATGATAGCAAGGGTTCCAAGAGTGTATGTCAGCCATGATAGCAAGGGTTGTCACTCAACCTGGTCCACACGCACAGCATCGCTCAGACCACAGAGAAAACCACAGCCAAAAGATGCTTCATTATGTTTCACTGGAGGATCCCGGGTACACAGGACACAAGGACAGGTACCTATAACTATGCAGGGAGAAGTGACATGTGGGGCCCTCCCCAGCCACAGATCATTCAGGAATTCCACCAGACCCCCAAGTCCATCAGCCCACTCGAAGAAAGGCTTCCTTTCTGGCCATAGACCGCTCTGGCCTGCTTCTCCGTCCGTCCCTTCATCATCACTGGTCGTGGGAAGCAAGGAGAGGGCTGCTTCCGAGTACAAAGAGGTACCCACAACCCTTGCAGTTTCTGTATGTCCCTGCCACGGAGTTGGACTGTCCAGTCTGGGCTGTGAGGACGGGTCAGAACATCTGTTACATCCTAGAGGGTCCAGGCGCCACGAACC